CGCGCCGCAGCTCCTCCAGGAGGCTCTGTGTACTGCGCCTGCCATCAAAAGGCAGCCGCGGCCACCAGCGGCGCCCACGCGCGACGCAGCGCCTCCAGGAGGCTCTGTGTACTGCGCCTGCCCCGCAAAAGGCAGCCGCGGCCCCAGCGGCGCCCACGCGCGCCGCAGCTCCTCCAGGAGGCTCTGTGTACTGCGCCTGCCACGCGAAAGGCAGCCGCGGCCCCAGCGGCGCCCACGCGCGCCGCAGCCCCTCCAGGAGGCTCTGTGTACTGCGCCTGCCATCAAAAGGCAGCCGCGGCCCCAGCGGCGCCCACGCGCGCCGCAGCTTCTTGCAGGCTCTGTGTACTGCGCCTCCCATGCAAAAGGCAGCCGCGGCCCCAGCGGCGCCCACGCGCGCCGCAGCTCCTCCAGGAGGCTCTGTGTACTGCGCCTGCCATCAAAAGGCAGCCGCGGCCCCAGCGGCGCCCACGCGCGCCGCAGCTCCTCCTGGAGGCTCTGTGTACTGCGCCTGCCACGCAAAGGGAGCCGCGGCCCCAGCGGCGCCCACGCGCGCCGCAGCTCCGCCAGGAGGCTCTGTGTACTGCGCCTGCCACGCCAAAGGCAGCGAGGAAGTTATCTGTACAGTGAGTGAGTGAGTGAGTGAGTGAGTGAGCGAGGAGGAGGCGGCGGAGGAGGCGAAGGAGCGGAGCCCCGGCGGGATCCAAGCGAAAAACAAGAACCCCACACAGTGATGTGGGGAATAAAAACAAATTATTAAAATAAATAAAAAAACAACCAAACAAACAAACAAATAAATAGATAGATAAATAAATAAATACATAAATAAAAAAATATAGATAGCGAGGTAAACCATGGTTAGTGAGAAGACGAATCTCCGGACAGGAAGAATGGTACAACCAGTAAAAGGCTTGGCTGGTTGTATCGTGGTTGTGTTTCTTGCGGACATCTTGAGGCTTTGGCATCGCGGCCAAAGGTGATGCGTCCCATTGTGGCAACACATCTTATAGAGGTAAAGGAATAGCCAGGTGAATCTTACGAACCGCAATCTCCGTTAAACAATATTCAGGTCCCCCGTGTGAAGCGGCTTGGAAGAAGCAGAGGGGGTCAAGCTAAGCATGTTTGTAAAGAGTGCACGCAAGGAGGGAGAGCCCAGTAATTATATATCCCGGTAATGTATGGCAAGTGTGAAGACGATGTTTCGTACGGGAAAGACGACACAACTAGGAAAAGGCTTGCATGGTCGTATTGTGGTTGTCTTTCTGGTAACGGGGCTGTTTGCGCCACAGACCTGAAGGTCATGTTCCTCTTGGCCTCAACACTGAATCTCCCTTACAGCAATATCCGCTGACAAGAGCGAGCTTGCATGACTTCCAAATCCACAGGCCCGACAAGTGGCTAAAATCCACGGACCGGGTGGAATTAGAATCACTGTCGCCAGACTAGCTCAGTGGTACATGCGCATCAAAAACTGATGCCTGGTGACGCCCTGATCCCCACCTAATTCCGAGATTTTGTACCGCCATGTCAGCGACCCGACCCAGGCCCCCAATCTCACTTCGTTCGAAAAAAGCAACTACAGCCTAGCCGGGCTGGCTTTCGGAACAAGCCAAGCTGCCAACGCCCTCCGTCTGCTACAATGAAACAAATTGAAATGTGTCAGGAGTACGCGAAGATAGGCAATTATTTTCTCGGACAACCCACATCAGCTTCCACTTGCAAGCCTCATCTTCAGCTTCCTTTCTGAGCATGTTGGCCAGGATCAAATGTCCTTGGCTTTCTAACATGTTTGGCGCAGCTGTATGGTGTTTAGTTCTGGAGCCGTCTGCTTTTGAGGCCCTTGCAGGCTGCAGCACGCTGATCACACTGTTGTAGCGGAAGCTTTGCGGCTCTCAGAGACTTACACAGCCAAGTGGAAAGAATAACGCGTATCCTTGCTAGTGTTCCAAGGGGTGCTATGTTGCTTACTTGCTTCTTGTCAGTCGTTCTCCAAGGCCAAAGAGATCGTCTGGGCGAGTTTTGCTTTGTCATGAGTGAAGTGGCTGAAAGTTTGCAATCCTGCCGTTAATCATGCTGCCTCCATCTTTGGACCGCTGGACTGGACCGGGGTATTTTTTCTGGCTTAGCCTGATTGCTGAGTAGACAGACAAGTCTATTGGAATCTATTGGCATGATGTGAACTCAAGCGAATACTGTCTGAACAGCCCATGGCCTAAAAGCAATTTGCCCAAGTTCCCTACGATGTCGCTCAAGGTAAGCCAGCCGCATCTTTACTAGTGCAATGAATAGTGAGAGTCTAGTAGCTTCGCCTCTGTGTTGGTCTGCAAAGCTGCCACAAACATGAGACTTTTTGGCAAACTATACTGCCAAGCCAAGCCACGAAGTTCGGAGGCTATCACCCAGCCAGTTCGTGGTGCATTGAGTCCTAATTCTTGTTGTCTCTTCTTCGTGCTTCCATCTGTAACGTTGTCTATGAATACAGCCTCAATCAGCAGTCTGGTCGGAGCTGTCCTACTGCTAATGGGTTTGACTGAAAATAAAAACACAGCAGCATCAATGCCCTCTGGAATGCAACGGTCAACATCACTCAACAGCTTCAAATTCATGTAACGTGTCCAATCCTGGTTCTCAACGAAGAGAGTGAGAACACGATGAATCCATGACGGGCAAGCATCCGTGGTTTTCCTTTTGGGCCCTAGTGCAGAAGTAGGCTCTTGAAATATTTTGCATAAAAAACATCTTCTGACATGGTCCCAAAATCTGCCTACAGACTTGCAGCCGTGAGGTGAACTGCAAGAAACAAAGGACATCAGCGTGGATGGAAATCCATGCTCTCAGTTCCTTTGTTAAACAGACAACCAACATAGCTCAACAAGCATCGCGCGTTCTCTTTCCCTACTATAGGTAAACGCTTGTTGCAGGATAGTGGTAGTTACAAGTCTGCCGCTTGGGTTCAATTTCTGCCAGCTTTTCAATCCATTTAACAGAAAGTTTGTCAGGGGTTCATTGGTACGAAAGGCGGGACATGCTATGACTTTGCACAGCTTAAAATCGCTGCCAAGGCGATGGATTTGGTACGGTCTGGGAAAGGCCCTGTCAATAATTGGGAATACATGTACAAGAAGTGACGAGCACTTTCTAATCTCTGCTATGAGCTTCTCTCAGAATTTGCGCTTATGTACTTTCACTTACAGCAGATCGTAGGAGAGCACTATCCAACCATAGCAAACTTGTACTTGTGAGGCAACAAGTGTTCATGTATGCCGTCAACACCGGCCACAGTGACAAATGAGGAATCGGATCAAGCAACAAACCTTGCATGGTGTTGATCTGTTGTGACCGCTGTACCGCTTACGTCGTTCAAATGCCGGCTGTCCTCTTTCCAACGACGTGCGGGTGCAACCAGGTGAGTGCAATGGTATGAGTGCAGTGATGTGAATGAAGCACGACGTCAAACACAAAGATTTCAAGCAGCATCAGCGACGAGAAATCTCAGAAGGCTATACGGGTCTTTGACAAACCTTTTCTAGATTTGTTTGTCCAAGGGTAGAACATGAACTGGGGCTGCCCACGATCCGGGAATGATTGCGAAAGCCGCGTGCCAACTACAAAAAGCACTGGCTACACAGAAGGGGCCCGCTGGGTACCTTGCAGCTTATGATTTAAGAATGTGTATCGTGGCCCATGTCATTCTCCAGTGCTATTTGGCATGCACCATGTATGCGGAGGGCTTGTGAAACAGAAAGCCGGCCACAGAAACCAGCCAAACAAACAATGTTTGATACGGCGGCAGAATCACTTGGACTTTGCTGTTTGCATCACCTGAACATTAGGGATCACTTAGAGCTTTGCGGGGTCGCCTGAACATGAGGTTGCGGATCACGTGAACATTAGACACTTAGACGCCCTGGCTCTACTCGCTCTACCGGCTCCACGGGCTCCACGGGCTCTACGGGCTCTGCGGGCTCTACGACGGGCTCTACGGGCTCTGTGGACTCTGCGGGCTCCACGGGCCTTACGGTTACAGAAGGCTGGAAAGAATATTGGGTGCACTAGTACTTAACAATACTAAGTATCCGACTCTTCAACTATAATTAATGATAAACATTTTACATTTAAACATACATTTACATGCACTACATAAATTACATACAGTACATGCATTACTACATGCATTACATGCTTTACATGCATTACATGCATTACATGCATCACATGCATCGCATGCATCACATGCATCACATGCATCACATGCACTACATACATTACATGCATTACATGTATTACATATATAACATACATACATAACAAACAAACAAACGAACGAACGAACGAACAAACGAACAAACAAACAAACAAACATACATACACACATACATGCCATTACATTACAGTACATTACCTTACGTTACATTACCTTACATTACATTAGATTACATTACATTACACACATACACATACATACATACATATATATATATACATATTTCTATACCGAAATTAGGTTTAACTACTGGGCTCAGCATAACTTTCTGTTTGTTTGTGCTAGGCTCTTGATTTTCAAACATCATTTCCTGCTACGTTCTTGCTGCTACGATCTTGGCTTTCGAACATTACTTCTCTTGACTTTCCAACATAGCTCCCTATACTGTGTTTGTTGCTGCTCCGCTCTTGACTTTCAAATATGACTTCCTACTACATTTTTGCTGCTATACTCTTGGCTTTCCAACACAACTACCTGTTTTTTGTTGCTACGCTCTCGGCTTTCAAAGATTACTTCCTACTACGTTCTTGCTGCTACGCTCTGGGGTTTCCAACATAACTTCCGACTACTGTTGATTGTTGCTATGCTATTGACTGTCAATCATCCTTTCTACTACGTTCTTGCTGCTACGCTCTTGGCTTTCCAACATAACTTCCCCTTTGTTGTTGCTACGCTCGTGGCTTTCAAATATTACTTCCTAGTACGTTCCTCCTGCTACGCTTTGGGGTTTCCAACGTGACTTCCAACTACGTTCTTGCTGCTACGCTGTTGGCTTTCCAACATAACTTCCGACTATGTTTCTGCTGCTGCGCTCTTGGCTTTCCACCACGCACCCGTCCTACTAATTACGTATCCATATGTTGTCGCTACGCTCTTGGATTTCCAACTTAACTTCCATCTATGTCGCTCTTCACTGTCTAACATGACTTCCTATTTTGGCAGCTCAATCTGGGTGCGCACGGACCTGAACATGTGCCACTAAGCATGTCAGATGGGATGTTAGAATAGATGCCAGAAAGAATGCCGGATAGAATGTAAACTTATTTGTTAGATAGAATACGCTAATTAATATCGGATAGAATCTTGATAGAATGTCAAACTATATGTCAAATAGGCTGCCAGAGAGAATCCCAAATAGAGTGTCTGAATACATGTAAGAAAAAGCCAAGATAATGTCAGATAGGTGGTTCAAATATGTGTCAGCTGGAAAGATGCCAGAATGAGTGTCGAATATAATGATAGACAGAATGCCAAAAAGAATGTTTGAATATATGTCTGACAAACGCCATAGAATGTTCAAAATTATGTCAGCTAGAAAGATGCCAGAATGATTGTCGGATAAAATGCAAGAAAGAATGCCAGATAGAATGTCACAATGTATGTTCCAAAAATGTCAAGTGGTGGATATCACTGGAAGAAAGTGGTTCTACTACAATTCGCTCCAATGCCTTCCACTGGTCGAACTTTCTAGCCGCTGTTTCATGGAAAATAGCATGATCCCCTCTACGCCCCTCACGGGTCTCACGGGCCTTACGGGCTCTACGGGCTCCTCGGGCCCTACGGCCTCTACGGGCTCCACGGGCTCTACGGCTCTACGGGCCTTACGGTTACACAAGGATGAGCCACATAGCCCGAGCACAAGCGATCCAAAATCAAACGCTCAAGCGAGAAAAACGCAAATGTTCAAGTGACACCCCGCCCGTTTGATACAGGGACCGACTAGGGAATGGGAATGCATTCATTGATTGGCCGTTGCAAATCAAACCCGCCTTTTATCTGCACGAACCACGGGCAAGCAGTACAGAAAAAATCTCTGTACGTCATCATGCAGGGACACTGGGGACCTGCGACCCGCAACCACACATACTTCATATTTCCATCAGCAGATGTGTGTCACTGGCCAGCTTACTGAGTTTCTAGCGTTGTCTTTAAGCTTTTTCGGTCCGGGTGTGCTTCTCGAATTTTCATGAATTTTCATCATTAACTGACCCTGCTTTTGTGACATGTCCAGATATCAGAGACTCATAGAAGATATTCGCAGCATCTCAAGCCTTGAGGGTTGAATGACAGCAACCTGTACATACCCTGAATACACTGTGAAGGCAAGGCACCATAATGAGATTGAAGATGCCGATTGTCACGAAGAGGAATAAAAGAATATACAAAAGCACAAAGATAAAGTAGAAGTCAGAATCTCTGAACAGCTTCTCCTGCCAAGAAACGGCACAAAATTCAACAGAAATCGAATTTCCCATCGCTGGCCCTTGATTTCCAAAACTCCTAATTTGATGTTTGTTTATGCTGTGCTGGTTGAGCTGCCTCTAAGCCCTTAAGATCAATCTAGATGTGAACATCTTTAGCATCGTTACCCAACTCGCGGTCAGGGTCCGTCACAAGATGTCATACAGGAGAAAGACAACGTTCAAGAACATATCCAAGTTGGTAAAATTATGTGAAACAACACAAAGCTAAGCAAAGGGTCCTGCAGTGGTGCTCCATCGTAAGTTGAGCAGCCATCCGTGAAGCAGCGAAACGATGTGAACATTGCTCGCGGAACGGTTTGAAACTCTGGGTTGTCACTGAACAGAGTTTTTGATACAACACCCAACAAGTACACGATGCCGATCAAGAGAACCACAGCCCAAAATAGGACGCGGAGTCCCGTAAAAACTCCTTGTATCATAAGCTTGAGTTCCTGGAAGATCTTGAACTTCAACAAGCGAATGATTCGTCCCAGCCTTGCCAGCTTTAGCATCTTCAAGGAACTCATAGCGCCCATCTCCGCATTCTTACCAGATGCTAAGCTGAGGTAAGTAATACTCATTTCGATGAGCGCGAGGACCACGCACAGTAAATCAAACCAGCTCCAATACCAATCTTCTCCAAAAAAGTAGCCCTTGAAACCAAACACCTTGATCTTGATGGCTATTTCTCCAATGAAGAACAGCGCGAAGAGTGTTTCCAACAGTGTCCAAGCGAAGCTGTTTGGTTCAACATCTGCACTGATACCAGCCACAACTGAATTGGCCAGAATAACCAGCGCTGGAACAACATCAAGCATCAGCAAGAAAGTTGCATTGTCTTCAGACTCCTCAATCTCATGAACGTCCTTCACCTCAAACGTCATTTTGCAAAAAGGTATATATATATTTACAGGGGAAATTCCGCACAAACGTGCGCACACACACCCACACATGCATACGTATATGCAACGTACACATACATAGTATCGTTTGTTCAACAAGCAACGGCGTATGAAGATGCAAAACCTGATGGATTGCAGGAGCTTCTTCCGAATGTCTGGATGCGGGATGATTTGGGGCACCCTCAAGCTCACATCCCGTAAATTCAACTGATTCCCTTTTGGACTACGATGCGTAGGACGACTTCCTACATATAGAGTAACAAGATTAGCGTCACCTTACCAGTCATTAAATATGCAAGAGAAACAACGCGTCCTGTACAGTATTGACTCAAACCATTTTAGATTCCCCGGATTCCTTCCTTGCAAATCTTTGGGTGCGACCCTTGCACATCCGACATTGCTTAAAAAATGGTTTCGATCAATTTTTGCTTTCATCCTTCTCCCTCTTTGGAACCATGTTATGAGCTGTCTCTACGCGTCAAATGAATTCAAAAGATAAACATTCACCATTTTTGTTCCTGACATGTCTTATGCTACCGGAAAGGAGAGTAGGTGATGGCAGCTCAAGTGAAATTTGCAGGTATTTCCAAGACTTGACCTGATCTCTTTCCATCCTGTAAAGGTAGATAAACTTTGAAACAATTGTTTTGAACAGTTTCATACCGCTGTATCAGTCGCCTGATGGTGGTGATTGGCACTTTTGAATTCGCATTATTTCTTGGATTTTGTCCAAACTGAATACCTGGGTAAACATTGCTGCCCGCTTGCTTACAGTAATTGCACTGGCAAAGACTGAATGCATTTGCACTTGAATCTCTGTGGCGGTGTCGATGCAAATACGTAGCGAATGTTTTCGACCGTGTTCATGGGTGCCATGCACCCAATGCAAAGGAACCAAAATGCCTTTGGTAATTCTGTATGTGCCTGTTTCCTTCCTTGGATTGCAGCCCGGTTAATGACTGATGGGCCCATTCTTCAGTTTTGAAAAACGACGACGCAACCTTATCATGTTGGTCAGCTTGTTGGCACAGCAATACTCTCTACCCCTCTCTGGCGCTTTCCCTGCTACTTGTTTAAATTTGTTTACCATTCATGTGCATTCTTCCAATTTGATTGTATGCGTGACCTTGCCCACCCCCTTCCAGGCGGTAAGTCATATTGTGGCAAATCTTGGAGAACCTGTAGTGTTCATCGGTTCGTTTGAGACGAGCTGCGTATGTTGCTCTGGATGGCTTCGATCCTATAGAAGATCGCAAAGCCGGTGGAGAACCATGTGGTCCTTGGATACTTCGAGGGGAGCGCTCTGCATCCAGTCGCTCCTGTAGTCCTCCCGCCTATCACGGCATGCAAACAGGAACAAAGGATCACAACCCATCGGAAAGCCTTCGGGCAGCACGAAAAAAAATTGTGCTCTTGGTCTTTGAGTCAATGTTGAAGGTTTGGTTCCGGTTTTTACTTTGCTTCGGTTGAAGTTTCCCTGGATTCAGGTCGTTTGTCAAGGAGCCTCCGACACATGCACTGAAGCAAAAGAAGGGTCGAAAAATTGTTTGCTTTGGACGAAAAATCCAAAATGATAATTACTTTCGTCGCGAAATCCCGACGAACTGACGCCCTATCATAAATTTTGACATTCTATCTGACATACGTGTATTCTGACCTTCTATCTGGCATTATCTGACATCGTGCCCGGCATTCTATGTGACATATTTTCTGGCAATCTGCCTAAAATATGCACTTTGACATTTGTCGCATTCTGTCTGACATATGTTCTAACTTGAGGGCAAGGGGTAAGGGACGAAGGCTAGCTTGGCAGGGTGATGGGCATGAAACACAGAAGGTAGCGCAAGTGTAAGCACAATTTTTGAGAAAATATGATTGTTGTCTACTGTTGCACGAAGCAAATGAAGACATGCAGCATAGACAGGATCATGACAACTGAGTCGGGAAAATTCACAGGTCCACCTTCGGCACCGCAGTGGGCCTTTGGAAGCGCGGGAAGACGTCACGCAGTGCGAGGCGACAGTTTACGACGACAGGTAGATGTGCGCACGCAACATGAAAATGGAGCAAGGCCAAGGTTCCATAAAAGGGCAAAGTCGTAAGGGTCTAAAGTCAAGTGTACAGTGGAACGTGTGAAAGCGTAAACCTTAAAGTGCGAGTGCCACGTGTAAAAGTACCGTGTGGAGTGCCAAGTGTAGAGTGTGAAGTGTAAAGTGTAGAGTGGGGAGTGTGGGGTGTAAAGGGATAAAAATTAAAGTGTAAAGTGTGGAGTGTAAAGTGTGGAGTGTAAAGTTTAGAGTGTAAACTGTGGCGTGTAAAGTACGTTAAGAGTTAAGTGTAAACTGTCGAGTGTGGAGCGTGGCGTGTAAAGTGTGGCGTGTAAGTTGAGAGCGTAAAGTGTGAAATGTAGAATGCGGATTGCAGAGTGTAGGGGAAAATTCAAAGGCCCACCGTCGGCACCGGAGTGGACCTTTGGAAGCGTGGGAAGAATGCAGCCATGTGCGCACGCAACATGACAATGGAGCTAGGCCAAGGTTCCATACAGTGTCAAGTGTGAAAAGGGCAAAGTTGTGGGGGTCTAACGTGAAGCGTAAAGTGCGAAAGCGTACAGACTAAAGTGTGGGTGCCACGTATAAACGTAGAGTTTGGAGTGCCAAGTGTACAGTGTGGGTGTAAAGTGCGGACTGCGGAGTGCGAAGTGTAAAGTGTGAAGCGTAGAGTTTAGAGCGTAAAGTATGAAGTGTAAAGTTTAGCGTGTGAAGCGTGGAGCAAAAAGTGCGTTAACAGTTAAGTGTAACATAAAGTGTGGACTCCAGAGTGCGAAGTGTAGAGGATGGATACCAGTGATCGTGCCGGTGCTGTTACTGACCGTGTCCCGGGAGGGGTTGAGCCCGCGACCAAACTGCTTGTGAAAGGGGGAAAGGAGGGGTAGGGGGTGGTAGTTAACTGAGAAGTTTCTCGCGATTGGAGATTCTATCCCCCCGAAGCAAGAGGGACTTCAGCTAGCAGAAGCTAACTCTCGTGACATTTTCAAAGGCAATTTAGTTCGAAAATTTCGAGTTACGGACGAATGTCCAGGGGTTGTCTTGTCATCATGTTCATGTCTCATCATGTCAACCACCCATATCCCCGTTGCATGCACACCGATGCCTAGCGCCCAGCCATACAGCTACCACAAACTATTCCTAGGGCCTAAGTTCCCTGAAGCCGGGGTAAAAAAGGGTGGCCTAACATGGTCGCAACTGTCAGGTTTAGCCTCCGCACAAAGGTGAAAACCTACTAAGTCCTAACATGTCAACAATGCCTTGCCCAAACACACGGTGCTGAAAACCTGCAACCCCGGATTCACAAAAGCCTGAGCTGTCCGAGCTCTCTTTTTCTTCTGCCTTGAGGCCTTGACCCAGATCCTTCAAACCGATCCTGAACCAAAGGCCCACAATGCATCACAAAACCTTGAGCCCGACGGTATTATCATCTAGGCATCCCTGTTTTAAACTTTTCGGGAGCGACTCCCCCAGTAACTCCCCGTATTTGTGTAAAACGTCCCAAGATACACCACAAAACCTCGGACCCTAGGATTTCATCTCATGCATCCCTGTTTTGAACTGTACCGGAACAGCTCCCCCAGTTACACCGCATATCTGTGCAAATCGGTCCTGAACCAACGTCACAAGATGCACCACAAAACCTTGGAGCCTAGGATTTCATCTCGCGCATCCCTGTTTTGAACTTTACCGGTACAGCTCTTCAAGTTACACCACGTATCTGTGCAAACCGTTCCTGAACCAACGTCACAAGATGCACCCCAAAACCTTGGACCCTAGGATTTCATCTCACGCATTCCTGTTTTGAACTTTGCCGGAACAGCTCCCCAAGTTGCACCGCGTATTTGTGTAAGCCGGTCTTGAACCAACGTCCCAAGATACACCACAAAACATCACAAAACCTCGGACCCTACAAGTTCTGGGGTTTAGTCACCTGGGTCCCGCATGGGCACGCTATGTTAGTGGTAAGTCACCCGGCTTTTGGAAAGTCATCCGGAAAAAGAGAAAACACCATGCGAACGCTACATTACAAGATCTTCCCCAAGGAGTTTGAAACAACGATTTTCTTGCGCACGCTGAGGTAAAATGTGCATCTTACTCGAATTTCAACATGTTTGAATTCCAAATCAGCATGTGCACGCCGCTTTGATACGATTACTGCTTCCCTCAAAAAGTGTATGAACCACCTGGAAATTCAGGGTGCAGGCAGGCACACAAATCTGCAATACATGAAAATCAACTGCGGCACAAGAAAGGTGGCTGAGCGCCAGTGCCGCGCGAGTCAGTGCGAGCGCCGCGCGAGTCCCAGCTAAACCCCCAGCCCAGGCCCAAAACATCACACGTACGCCAACAACACTAAAATTTCGCAATCATAACATGCTGACACATCAAAGTGCCCAGCTGCACGCCACATCCAGACGACTTTCTGCAGGACATGACGACTTAACCCAAGTACCTTGTAGGATTTCAGCTCACAGATTCATCTTTTGACATGTGCCGGAACAGCTCTCCAAGTTGTACTGCGCATTTGTGTAAACCGGTCCTGAGCCAACGTCCCAAGATACACCACAGAAACTCAGACCCCAGGATTTCATCTCACACATCCCTGTTTTGAGCTGTGCCAGAACAGCTCTCCATGTTACGCAACGCATGATCCAGCCTGAAGCATCATACCCGCAGCAATTATGCAAAACCATTCGTTCCTGCAAACCCATCGTCACATAACGTCCCAGGATACGCCTCCCAAAAGCAAAGATGCACTTATTTGTTAACAAATTCTTTTGCGCAGAAGCTTCAAGGTGCGGGTCAAGAGCAGGGAGAACCGGCTCGACCTCTCACCGTCCCCGTTCATGCCTAACAATTTCTGCCAAAAGAGAATCCTGACATTTTGGTAAACCATGCGTTGGTACTAGTACTGCGGCTTGAAACCTATGGCTCAGGCTCTCTTATGATTTTGGATGATGAGCCCCAAACGTTTTTTTTTTCTGAATGGTGTTTCATGGAAAGGGGGCTGAAAACCCACGGACGCAGCCATTCCCAGTGGTCATCATCTTTCCTCAACTTTGTTATCTACAGGGGTGTGGCATAACATCCGCAAAGACTTCTCTATGCACAAGGTCCGGCGCCTGAAAACCTATGGCCCTTGGCAGCAACATCAAAACAGATGTCCATCATTTCAGAGGCTGAATGCCTGAGTCCTGAGGTTATGCCAGTATATGTTTCAGCCACCAAACCGGTGGCTGAACAGGGCGGCGCTAGCCCCAGGTTTTAGGACAGGAGCGCTAGACAGGGATTGACGGGCTCGGGGCACTTTTAGAAGAGGTGGTCGGCAAACTGCGCACCGGCTCAATTTGCACGTCAAAAAATTAAGAAACTAACTGACGATGCTGGAGCACTTTTGGAAAATGAGGTCGGCAAAATGCGCACGGGGCTAAAGCGAGAGCTTGATGTCGCATAAAAATTGCAAAAAACTGAGGGATCGGAGCGGCGCCGGATTTGTGCGGCCGAAGTCCCATTGACAGCACTGGGCGGACGTTGATCGATTTGGCGGGGCGCTTCTGCTATGCGGGTTTGCAGCTGGCTGTGACAAAAGGCAGTGGCACGGCTGCATGCAGGAAAGCAGCAGTGATGTTGCAACGCTCCTGGCAAGCGGGATTGCAGCTGGAGGTTGCGAAACGCATTGTAACGGCCGTGCGACAGGGAGTCGGCCGAAGGGTTGTCTTGTCATCATAATGTTCATCATGTCATGCCCGTGTCATCATCATGTCACCCACAAGCGAGTTAATTCAGAGGTCAAAGCACTTTCAGGCGCAAAACCTTGTGTTTTTTGCGGGTAATGTGGCTTCTGAGTCGGCGCAGTAGGGTCTTTGTTTCCGCGGTTCCGCACCTCGACCTGCAAATGTCGCCAACAAAAAGCGCACAGGACTCTAATCTGCGATGCTGGTGTTGCATCTGAATGTGAAGGTGCTGGTAGTGTAAGTTGTTGTGGTTGCTGCACTGCTTTGACTTGTGTTTGGTCGTTGGTCCACCAATGGTTGTCATAGGTGGTCTGTGGTCCATACCACTGCTCTGTTGCACCGTTGTTGTTTTCTTGGCCATCCCCTTGTACGTTGTCTACTGCAACCCTGTAGTCTTTTGCCATGTAACCTGGTTGGCCACACCGGTAGCAGCCTATTGTATATCCTTTTCCTTTTCCTTGCGCATAGTAATTGGATCCTTTGTAGGGCATTGTTTGTCCGACCGGTCCTTTTCCTTGGTCTGTCCTCCGTAGCCGTGGCCTTGTTGCGCATATCCTTTTCCTTTGTTACCTTTCTTTCCTTTGCCTTTGTGTTTGCCTTTTCCTTTTCCTTTGTTGACGGCTCCTATGTCCATCGGTGCAGCTCCTCCGTTGAAGTTTGTTGCTACGCTGGATGTTGTGCCCTGCGGGAGTCCGCTAAATGCTGTCGTTGTCCTGTAGTATTCCATGATGGTTGGTCTGATGGCTGCGCAGGTTGGTGTTGCTCCAGCCCTTGGGTGAAGGTGTTGTTGTAGTGGTCCTTTTTTTCCGTTCATCAAGACTGCAATCTTGACCTGGTCTGGTAGTTGAATGTTGTTGTCTCTTTCATACCTGCTGAGTTCAAACTCCCAGCTGGAGAATGACTCTTTGAAGTTGTTGGTGTCGAGTGTGGGCTTCAATGGTTTTGTGCGGTACCCGATGCTTCTTGTTCCTACGGGCATTGCAGACCTCATTTCTGGTTGTCCGAATACCTCGAGTCCAATCTCATGGTGGTGTTGTCTCGAGTCCAATCTCATGTTGGTGTTGTCTGCAAAGTGTGGCTGCTGCTCCCGTTGTAATGTTGACTAACACGTACTTGAAGTTCTGGTCGGGTTGGACCCATGCTTCTGCTTCTTCCTGTCTAAGGTGTGCTTCTGTCACTTGTTGTGATGTTGCTTCTGCCCCTGAACATCCTTGGGTAGAATGGGTCTTGAAGATCCGTGTATGCTGTGAACTTGTATTTTCATTCTTCATATGTGGCGTAGTTGCCATCATATGTTGGGGTCTTGAGTTTGAGTTTGCGTGTTGGTGCCAAAGCTGTTACATCATCATCTGCTGGCGCTGCCATTGTTGTGTGTAGGTGCTTGTTGTTTCTTGTTCAGAACCCCCCTGTGCTCTGGAAATCCCCCCGTGCCCTGGGATCAAGTCCTCTGCCTGTTGTTTACTGCTGTTGCTTGGAGATGCCCCTGGTTAGGCAGAGCTCTGCTACCATGAAATGTTTCAGGCAGTTGTTGAACAGTCTGTTGAACTGCTGAAGCTGTGCCCTGTTGAAACAATCCTTTTGTTGCACACGCTGGTTGTACTGCCAATCTGTTGTCTTAACAGTTGGCTTCAGGGCTGACTCGAGTCTAGCTCAAGGCCTAGAAGTTGGGCCAAGATGTTGACCATCAGTATGAATGCGGTAGAGAAGGTTGATACTTAAGAATACATGTATATTAAATTTTATATATACATACATCCATCCGTCCATACATTCATTGCACTGCATTGCGACGCACTGCATTGCATTGCAATCCATTGCACCGCGCTGCCCTGTATTGCATTGCATTACATTGCAGTATATATATATATATACATTAATTACAATACAGTACCATGCCATACGTTACGATACAATAACATAACAAAACGCAACACAACATAACATAACATAACATACCATCCATCCATCCATCCATCCATCCATCCATCCATTACACATACACACAAAATCAGGCAGAAATGACGAACAACCAAAATGACAGACCAAAACTGACATGACAAAAACATGCAAAACGCTGACAAACAAAATGATAGACCAGAAATGAAATGCCAAAACAAATGACGAACATGACAGAAACATGACAGAAACATGACAAAATTAGATTTCAAGCATCTCCAGTGTATGGCTGTAAGTTTAGTCTAATTCTAGAACTTTGAACGCGCTCTGAAAAGCAGGTTCCGCTGAACGTGTCCCATCCGACATCCTAGAGGAAACGCGTGCAGGGATGATATATATATATATATATCTATATACATATATTATTTATTTATTATGTATTTATTTATTTATTTGTTTATTTATCTATTTATTTATACAAATAAACATCATATATATATACAGTTAATATATATATATATATTGTTGGCTAATCGGTTCATGATTGGTTTGCATTGTAGGTACTATGTTTTGCCGTGATATGCTGTGAACATCTTTGATACAACATGAAATACCAATACTGAGATAATATGATTTTTTGTGTACGTCACTAGCACCGGCGAGAGAGTTGGCTTGCGCTAGAGCTACTGGCAAGTTGCAAGTTTGCAAGTGCGTTTGCAGGTCCAAACAGAAACCTGAAACTATTTGACGTCATTCAAGAACTCTTGTGAATTGAGTGCCTCTTCAGATATAGTCCCAGGTAAGCTGCCCATTTCAGCATCGCATTCTTGGAATTGTGATGCAGTTGGACTCGGGCTGCCAGGACTTGTGGCACTGGAATATGGGAGGTGCAAATGCTTCGGGCTCTCCAGGTAGTTGACCTTGTGGCCCTCTTTGTGGCCCTCTTTGACGATTGGCGGCTTTGGAGATGAAGCGCAATCCTGAAGCGACATGCGAAAGTGTGTGCGAAACAACTTTTCAACAACTTTGACCTGCAGCCAAATCTACTAAGCGAGTCAAGGAGATCTGACACAGGACCTCATACTTACAAAAATCATTTCAATGCAACACAATGGATGGTGTTAGTGTCTTCTGGGGAAAAATCAAAAACAAACGCATGTCTCTTCCAGCAAACCAAGTCTTCAAGTAAACGATCAAAGCTCTTTGTGACTTTTGTTGACAGCTTCAATGAACAAGCTTCCAGAGAGCGGATCTGCCAAAGGGTTTCTTTGCCTTCAAGAACACCGGGAAAACTTGAGACAGCTGGGGCTTGCGTAGGAGAACAAGGAGAGCTAGGAGAGCATGCAGGGCTCAAAACACTTGGCATCTCGTTCCCACTCACAAGTTGTTTCCTCAGGTCCACATTCTCCATCACTAGTCGCTCAAACTCGCTATTCAACGCTGCCAAGTGCTGCTTAAAAGCAACGGCGACAGCGCTTGCTGCCCGGTCTTCCAGCATAGCGATTCCTCCCTTGGCCCACGCCCTCCTTCTGGTCTCTTCTTGGGACTATGAACCAAACTCTGCACATGTTTGTCTCAATACATTGTGAACACTTGAACACCAAAAAAGCTTGATTTCCCTCATCATCAAAGGAAGTTTGGAAGCCAAACTTCCGACAATATGGATAGATGGAAAAGCAGAGGTGGGAGGAGTCAGAGAAGAGGAGAGAAGAAGAGAGAAGATCAGAGAAGAGAAAGAGTCAGAAGAAGAAGAAGATGCAGGTAGACAAGTCGCGGTTCACTGTGTTTTACCATTGATTTGTGGCTCCGGAGGGTCGCAAAGTAGGCTCGCTAAAGCGGCGAGTGCGGAGCCATCTGGCTAGCTAAGAGATGAACAAATGCATGCCGTTGTGGCGCGAAGCACATTTCGAAGTCAAAACGCAGAAAACACCTCAGCTTCGGAGCACTTTTAGAAGCTTAGATGTCGAAAAAGTGCACACCGTTGTGGCGCAAAGCACGTTTCGAAGTCAAAATGCGCAAAGCACACCACGTTCGGACCACTTTTGGACGTTCAACCGCGCCACACTACACTACACTACACTGCACTGCACTGCACTGCACTCCACTGCACTGCACTCCACTACACTACACCACACCACACCACACTACACCACACTACACTACACTACACTACCCTACCCTACCCTACACTACACTACACTACAATACACTACACTACACTACACAGCGACGACGACGAGGACGACGACGACGACGACAACAACAACAACAACACTACCACTACTACTACTACTACTACTCCTACTACTACTACTACTACTACTACTCCTGCTACTGCTACTGCTACTACTACTACTACTACTAGTGTTATTGCTTATACTACTACTACTACTACTGCTGCTGCTGCTGCTACTGCTACTACTACTACCACTACTGCCCTTACTGCTACAATGACGACTAGTACTACTCATCCTACTCCTACTCCTACTACTCCTACTACTCCTCCTACCCCTACCCAAACCAGCGCTAAAAGAAACCGTACCCCAAAACAAACCCTGACGAAACAATAATTCAACCCTAAACTAAAACCAGAAGAAACCCCAAACCAAACTAAGACTACATAAACACTAAAATCATACAAACCCTACAGAAACCCTAAACCCTCAAGCAAACCCTGACGAAACCCAAATTTCACCTTAAACCAAACCTAAATAAACCTTAAACCAAAACCAACACGAAGTAAAACTAAAGAGACCCTCAAACAAGCCTTGACGGAACCCGAGATTAACCATTAACCCGAAGCTAGCCTCAAATAAAACCTAACCCAAGCCTGACTATACCCTACACCAAGCCGAAATAGTTCTTTCGGCAGGAAAATCAACAAGGCAACCAAAACAGAAGCGGAAAGTGCCAGAAGCAAATGTCTGGCCAAACCTGCGGGATGATGACATCAAACAAAGATTGACTGCCTCATGGCGCAATGTCAGAAAGAAGCGTCCTTCTTGCAAATTCAGCGAGAGGGCCAGCAGCATATGGTAAAACAAAATCAAAGAGGAGAGAACGGGAAGGAGTGAGGGCGGGAAAGAAAAAAGGACACAAATGTCCAAAGCTGGCCCTCTCGACCTCAAACAGCTACGGAAGTCAGTAGGAATTAATCGGAAGATTCACCACGAAAAAACACAGCGACAAAACGCTACGAGTTCTGTCGCTAGCACTGCTTCCTCCTCTGCTTCCGACCGATCAGCCGTATGGACACTCTTTTCTTTTCTCAAAGTTTGGCCCAGAATTGTGAAAGAGACAGCGGCCTTTTCAATCTTAAGCAACAAATCGCTGGAATAAAACCAAAAGCTGCCACAACACAACTATCTAGTATAACCCCCCTTCAATCTGGGCAACACTGCTGAGAGAAGATTCAAGTGTCCATGCTCGGTTTGCCGGACGCCCCCCCCACAGTCTGAGCATGGTGGAGGAGCAGTCCTTAGTGAATAGTTCGTATGCCACAAAGACCAACATGAAATCACATATCGCATGAAAATCTCCGTACCAGCGGCCTGAGAGGTGCAAAACAAAACACGAAACAACGTTGGCAGGATTGAAATCGGTGCTGAAACCGAAATTGAACTGGGGAAAAAAACGCGCAACTGGACTGCAACATGAGTAGCTAACTCTGCGTGCACGCTGTTACAGCGCTGAAAAATTGACACAGCTGAATTGCGACATGAAATCTGAAATACAATCATTGCAGAAAACTGACTAGATCACAACATGAAGTGCACAGTAAACCACTCAAGATCGATTTATTTTTTCTACCTCCCTGCCTGTAAGGTCAGAAAATGAGCTGGCCAGTCTTTCGGTGGATAGAAATGGATTCGTCGACCAATGTTGAAGAAATCCTCAAGAGACACCCTGAAACATGGATAATGCAGCAATTTTTGTATGCGGTTGCGACTAGGTCGTCTGCCCAGTCATTGCGTGGACCTGGTATGTGGGAAACTGACAGATGCACCTGGTGTTGGAAAGCGATGTTGCCCAGCATTTGGAGGAACACGGATGCAGGCCATCGGGTGGTCAAAGACTTGTTGATCCCAGCTTCAGCAGCTGTGTTATCTGACGCTGATGGCAAAGTGACTGCCAAGTGTCGCAGCGCAGCCTGCTGGCAGGCAGCCATCACCAGTGCCACCTGGGCCAAGATTTCAAATGCACAGATGTATTTCTGCGGGTGCTTGGTGAGCTGCGGCAGGAACCCTTTAAGCTGAGACATAGAAAATTGCTCGCTGAACCAGACAATATGCTTGGGCGCAATAATCCACCCGCCAATTCCCAGACTTTCATCGTGCACATAAGCATCAGCTGCAGCTTTGATCACCAAAGGTGTTGGCAAATGCAAGCTGAAAATATGGTGCGGTCGGGACACCAAAGCATAAAACCATCCGAGGCGGCTAAGCGCATCTTTGGTCAGTGTTACAGAGCTTGCTCGAAGGTCTTGAACCCGCAGCCATTGCAGGTGAGATTTGGTGAGCACTCGCGGCAGGTCATTCTTAGAATGGATAGGAATGTGTGAATATTGCACCATGCGACCACCCAAAGGTAGAGCCAAGGAGGGCGAAGCCGACATGACTACAGCCGCGCCATTCAAAACAGAAAGGAACTCGGCCCAGAACTGCGCCGGAACACTGTAAAGCACTGCCGGTGGACTGTAAAGCATCTGTAAATGTCAGCCAGCTGGGGACGAAGAAACCGAGCAACGGAAGTGAACCAGATCAACATGTCCAAAGTCGTCTCCAATGCTTTCGCCTTCGCCTGCTTCGTGGCCAACACGTCCTGCAGCAAGTCTAGAAGCTTTGTGGCTTTGGAAGCCGTCAACTGCACTGTATCCAAACGAAAATTGAAATCCCAGCCTGTCCAGGTGACACAGTCACCAAGCCGGGCTTTTTGCCAGGGTATGGGCGAGTTGATGAGGAGCAGAAAAAGAACGGCCAAAGTCACTTGCTTCGTAAAAGATGTTCTGCGGAAGAGCAGCAAGATGTCGTCCACATATATCCAGCCACGGTGTCCTGAATGCAGAAAATGGTGCAGTAGTCGCAAGATCAAGGCCGCCATTCTCTGCCACCACCAAGCACTGAAACGTGCTCCGAAGTGCGCCACTGTGTAAAAGTATGTGCGGTTGATTGAATTGAAACAGAACCAACCCCTACTCCTCGGGACTCGGGATGCAAACGAACTTGTTCGTGAGCAGCGTGTATGTCCAACACTAAGGCTGAAAATTCCCCAATGTTATGGCTGGACGAAGGGGCCCGGCGAACATCGTCCACGGAGGGAAGGATTATGCTCTCGGGAAGTCGGCAGTTCTGATTCACTGCGCAACAGCTGCTGTCCAAAATCAATCGAGGAGCCTTGTTGGGCACCTTGACCGTTGAGCTTGCCGACGGCAATGAATGTGCTGCCACCGTCGTCTGGCTTCCTCCAAGCCCCCGTGGAGTTCCTGTACCCAACCGTTGGCGATTTCAGCATCAATCAGGGATTGTGTCACGTCCGGTTCCTCGTCAGCACCTTGCCAATTGGTGTGATGGAGCATCGAAGGTTCAGTGGTCTGCTCAGCATGCGTTTTCCTTGGCCACAGGCCAGAAGGCTCCAGCGGCTGTAGGACTCCGGTGGGCATTCTTTGCTTCAAAGCTGCTCGCAAGGTCAGGTCCGGATCTTGTGTAACTTCCACCAATGACTGTAGAAGGTTGAGGCGAAATGATTGGCCTGGAGCCACGCTCCAGCATGGGGAAAAACCTCTTTCCCGAAACCAATGGTCAGTGAGCTGCATGAATGGAGCAAGTTGCTGAAGCGACAGCGGCTCACCATTCTTTTGTTGCTGGATATGGTCCACGATGATGCTGTCAACTCGGTGTTCGTGTGAAAAATGCCAAATACGATCCCGCAGATCCAGAAACAGATCCGGCTTGTCAGTGGCAGTCCAGTCCGCTGTGCTGTGCACACCTGCACCATCACAAGTGTGAACCGGCTTGAGCGCTGCGCCGCTCTTGGTTAATGGCAAGTCGCGGAGCTGCACCAACTGCCCATCACATGAACAAGCTTCACAAAAGATTTGGATGATGGCGAAAGCCAACTTCGGGGGATAAGATACCCCGCCGAGCACAGCATCTGAGACATGGCGATGCAAGCAAGAACATTGAGATGCGAGAGGCCTCATATCTGCCTCGTTGGTGCAGAAAAACCAACTTGTCGGCATGTCGAAGTCCAAGCACACCCTGCTACGTTGCAGCATGTAGCATTCCAGGAGCACAGCATGTCGGCACTTTTAGGGTCCAGGAGGTCCTCTGGAGAAGCATCCCAACCAACCGCAGCCCCACGCGCATGCACAGCTGCCAGCAAGGCCCGGTTTCGGCAGGCCATGTCAGTGATCAAAGAGGAAGGCGCTGGATTCGAATCGCTTGCACCAAGATGTGGCGCAGACCACAGAGCCGCGATCCAGCCACCCCAAACAAGCCGCAACATCTGCTCATAATGTGCATCATCCAAAATGTTCAGGCTCAGGTATGTCCAGGTATGTGTCAACTGAGTCGAAAAGGAAAATTGTATCCACGCGCGAAGCTTGCGCCGCATCCACCAGGGATGATCCTGGTGTAGCAAAAAAGATCCAGAAAAATCTGCCGGATGACGCCGGCAAGAAACAGCCTGGGGGAAAATCCAGAGGTCGTGGAACTGTGGGCTCCACCCCTGTCACCGGCATGGTCGCACACCTGACAGATGGATTACCAACCAAGGGTGATGAGCAAGGAACTAGTCAACTACTGTGCGGATATGTGCGGATGATCTGCAGCCGCGTGGCTTTCCTTGAACTTTGGCCGCGCACAAATGTTTGTATTTGCAACTTTTGCTGGTGCACCGGTTCTGCCGAAAACGTTGGCACAAGTTGTGACGCTGGCCGTCCAGGATAATATAGCTGCACAAATCTGGGGAAGCAGCTGTGTTGCCCAAAGTCTTCCTGACTCCATTCTGGATGTGGGTCTTGCCTGCACCTTTCACTGGCACTGGCCCGACACTCTTTGGCCGTGGCTGGAGCAAGCCGTAGATATCCGCACGTGCTGTTGTGAGCTCATGGAGGGAATCGTCCAATGTCCATCCTTGGCCAACCAAAGAAATGATCTCGGCCCAAATAGCTTTGTCTGCCTCCAGAAGCTCTGACAGGCTGGCAGCTCGGAGATCCGGGTCCGGAGAATGCTTCTTCATGGCCAAATCAAAGACCTTTTGGTCAAATTTCTTAAAGGTGTGCAGGTGCGCTGCCCCACACATGACGAAAGCATTGCGAAAGACTTGCTGAACTTTCATGAGCCACTCTGCAGACAAGCGCGCTTGGTCCAAAGGCAATTCCGGGGTATCATCCCAGATGACCCCCAAGAGCTGAGGCGTTTTTGCTTCCATCATCTCCTGGCACTGCTTTTGGGACAACCTGAGCTGCCACGGCACATAGCGCAAAGTCTGACCTGGTTGAAGTTGGTGATGTATGATGCTAAGGAGCCGGATGCTAAGGACCGGGTGCTCGGAAGAGTTTCTGCAATGAGCAATTCCCCTGGAAAATTCTTGGTGAACATGGCGCTCAGTGCCGCCACAGACTCTGGCGTGAGGCGAGGCGGAGCGTGTTCTTGCCAGGATGGAGGACACAAACTCCCGGCATTTGGAGTACCTGCAGGCGCACGCCCGCTTGTCTGAAACTGGGTGACCAAGACCTTGCCGTGAGAGATCAAACGCCGGATGCGCCCCGCTGTGACACTCGTGGCAGCCTGAGCCGGGTCAACCCCAAGATCATTCCAGATCTGATGAGGTATCTTTGACAACAGCGCATCCCCATCCACGCTGTGGACAAAAGCAAAAGTCAAATCTGAAATAGTCTCAAAACCTTCATTCTTGCTTGATCCAAGTCTGGATCCGCTCGGGGATCTGCAGTTCGGCCATCAAGGTGGCAAAGTCCGCTTTGCTATCAGTTTAGCTCATGGCAAATTAGATGGAGCACTGTGGCTCGCACCCATTGAGAAAATGCCGGTCCAGAAAAAAAAACCTGCTCTCATTAGTGGCTGGATAACCGTGACCTGTGTTTCGAAGCAAAGCTAGAACACACTCTGGCAGGTTGCCGGATAAAGGAATGCAACTGGAAATAGTATATGGCCGACACGCGACAGGAGAGGGGAAAAAAAAACAGGAGCCAAGGCGGCACTGGCGCAGTGCAAGCTCCAACGGTTACAAGCCATCGAACGCAATGACAATGTGCTTGTCAAGGTCTCCAGGTCAAAGATGCTAATGACTGGCTGCAAACTAAAAGCAGGACCACCAATCACTTGATGCCTGAGTCAAATAACGCAGATGTCATTGAAAACTGCTCCCACAATTTGCAGCTGACAAGAAAAACATTCATGCACAAGGGAAAAAAGGGAAGCAAAGACGATGTTCTGTTAGCAAATGACTCACCGGCTCCAATCGAACAGTGTCACCGGCTCCATCATACTGCTCGGAATTGTGAAAGAGACAGCGGCCTCTTCAATCTTAAGCAGCAAATCAATGGAATAAAATCAAAAGCTGCCACCACGCAACTATCTAGCATAACCCCCTGAAAAATCGGAAGGAAAATCAGCAAGGCAATCAAAACAGAAGCGGAAAGTGCCAGAAGCAAATGTCTGGCCAAACCTGCGGGATGATGACATCAAACAAAGATTGACTGCCTCATGGCGCAATGTCAGACAGAAGCGTCCTTCTTGAAAATTCAGCGAGAGGGCCAGCAGCATATGGTAAAACAAAATCAAAAAGGAGAGAAAGCGAAGGAGTGAAGGCGGGAAAGAAAAAAGGACACAAATGTCCAAAGCTGGCCCTCTCGATCTCAAACAGCTACGGAAGTCAGTAGGAATCAATCGGAAGATTCACCACGAAAAAACACAGCGACAAAACGCTACAAAACCCTAATCCAACCTTCGCACAACCCCGATGAAACCCGAACTTAACCTTCACCAGCTCTTACAAACCCTAAGCCAAGCCTAAATAAACCCCAAACCAACGAAAAGTAAACCCTAAAATAGACCCTAAACCAAACCTTGACGAAACCCTACATTAGCCCTAAACCAACCCCAAACAACACCTAAATCAAGCCTGAATGTACCCTAAACCAAGCCTAAATAAATCCTAAACCAAGCATAAATAAACCCTAAACCAACCTTAAAACAAATCCTGACGAAACCCATCATTACCCTAAACCAACCCTTTCAAAACCCTAAACCAACCCTAAATAAACCCCAAACCAACACTAAGTCAATCCTAAATATATCGCAAAACAAACCATGAGGAAACCCTGCAGAAACCTTAAACCAACCCTAAAGCCAACCCTAAATAGACCCCAATACACCTTGAAACAACCCTGAACCAACCCCCAAACCAAGAGTACATAAACCCTAAAACAAACTCTACATGAAACCCTAAACCAACCCTCAAGCAAACCCTGACGAAACCCAAATTTCACCTTAAACCAAAGGTAAATAAACCCTAAACCAAGCCTAAATAAACCCAAAACCAACACTAAGTAAACCCTAAAGAGACCCTAAAACAAACCTTGACGGAACCCGACATTAGCCATTAACCCGAAGCTAACCTCAAATAAAACACTGAAGCCTGACCATACCCTACATCAAGCCGAAATAAACCCTAGTCCAACCTTTGCACAAACCCTGATGAACCCTAATTTAACCTCAACCAACCAATGAAAACCTTGAACCAGGCCTAATAAACCCCAAACCAACGAAAAGTATAAACCCTAAATAGACCCTAAACCAAACCTTGACGAAACCCATCATTACCCTAAACCAACCCTTTCAAAACCCTAAACCATGCCTAAATAAACCACAAACCAACACTAAGTCAACCCTAAATGGAACCTAAAACAAACCATCAGGAAACCCTGCAGAATTCTTAAACCAACCCTAAATAGACCCCAATACATCTTGAAACAACCCTGAGCCAACCCCAAAGAAACCATGTCACTTTGACGGCCCACGAGGCACGCCGCAGGGCATTCACCCCTCGCCCCCAGTGGGGCTGTGGAGGGTGACTGACTCCGACATGGGGGGTGATTGACTCACTGTGGTCTGACTTTGCTAGTGGGTGACCGATTCCGTCTGGTCTGCTACAACTACGACTACAAATATAAATACACTACGCTACACTACAACTAAGCTAAAACTACAACTAAAACTACAATAACCCCACCACACTACACTACACTCCACTTTACCACACTAAACTACCACTACACCACACTACGACCACCACTACAATAACAACAACAACAACAACAACAACTACTACTACTACAACTACTAGAATTAAAGCTGCAGCTACAACATTGCAACTACAACAACATCAACCACAGCTGCTGCTTCAACTACACTACAATACAACTCCAACTACAACTACAGCTACGCTACGCTCCACTCCACTTCACTACACTTCACCACACTTCACCACCACTACAATACAACTACAACTAGAACTGCAACTACAAAAAACTTTGCACTACACTCTACACCACACTACATCCAGCAGTTGTGGTTGAGGTGACCACTGCAACCACTCCAAAAAGATCCAATAGCACAACTCCAACCAGCTATCGGTTCATCAATGGATTCGCTTTGCCATCCATGCATCACAACAAATTCACCTTTCCTATAGTGTCCTATCTTTGAAACTTCCGCCACCGCCTTGTGTGGTACTACTGGTACCTACTACAGGAACCTAGAGGATACAGGACAGTCGCGTCGCCAGTCTGACGAAGATGAACGAATGCCAACGTTTTTGTGCTCAAGCAGCTCATGAAACTTCACCTGCGACTGTTTATATTTATATCTGCTAAGTCTTGCACAGCTACCATTTTACGGAATTGCTCCCACACGATGTGAGAATACCATGTTCTTCAAATGCGGGTGATCCAGGAACATGCACAGGAGCCAGGGCCCTCTTCACTGTTTTTCAGCAACCTGTCAGCTCGTCTGCTTCCGTGAGACAGGACAAGTCAAATGACTAGTCTCGAAAATAATCGAGAATATTCAAAGCTGCATATCTTTAGCCCTCGCTGGGCGTTATGCAACCGCAAGCTTTCTGATTCGAGTCTTTAACGACTCATTCTCCTGGCTGTGGTGCTGTGGGCTTGCAATATGCAAACTTGGATTTTGGATGTTTTCTTCTATTCTGTGCCAACAGCAAGTAACAACTCCAAATGAATCACCTATTGATCACCTCTCGTTGCTCGTTGTGATATGTTGCGATCATTGCATGGCATGATGTTACTATTAATTTATTATCTATTATATAATCATATTGCATCCGTTCGCCGGTCGTTTCTTCTGGTTTGGCCAAAAAACATGTAGCCTCCTCTTTCTCCAGAATGGCCGCGTCTAGCTCATCGGCTTGCAACTTCAAGTGGGCCAGCTCTGCCTAGCTGAAGGATTGCTGAAATGGCTACTGTAAGGCCTTCAGAAAAAAATCAGGCGCAACAGCTTCAACAGCTTTAACAGCTTTAACAGCTTTAACAGCTTTAACAGCTTCCACATCTACGGCAACGATACCAAAGCTAGATTCTATTGCCATAGTATGCTATAGTGACGGCATGTGACGGCTAGGGGTAGCAGTAATTATGCATGTCGCTGAAGTGCTCATGAATCATGATGGAACTGGGTGCCAAAAGATATCAGGATACAGTGGCTCCAGAGTCTTGCACGTTTCACATGGCTGGAAGACTGGATCCACTGAATTTGCTTCAGAATCGGACCTGTCAAGTGCAAGGACCACACTATATAAAATATTATATATTGGCATCGAACTACGCACTACAAGAATTGGACAAAATCGACCAACACCAAACCTAAAGACGTTCCCATGCGTCTCTTGGCCAGCTTGCAACTGGTTCACAGATTCTGTGTACCTCCAGCCCCCTTCTCAGGGCAAACATCTGTGCGCACGCGCACACACACACAAACCTACCATCTGCTACCGAACCACAGGCAAAATAATGCAAAATATAGGAAGACAATACATGTTAATTAAAGGACCGGATAACCCCACAAGTCAACTTCTTCCAATAATGAGCAACAAATGTTGTAGCGGGGACGGGGAAGGAAGGAAAGACAAAGGAGGAGGTGGAGGAAAGATGGTGTGTGACAAAGTTGTGTGTGAAAGATGGTGTGGTGAAAGATGGTCTTTGACGGCGTGTGAAAGATGGTGTGTGACAAAGTTGTGTGTGAAAGATGGTGTGTCAAAGATGGTGTGCGACAAAGTGGTGTGTGAAAAAGATGGTGTGTGAAAGATTGTCTGTGACGGTGTGTGAAAGATGGTGTGTGACAAAGTTGTGTGTGACAAAGTTGTGTGTGAAAGATGGTGTGTGAAAGATGGTGTGTGACAAAGTTGTGTGTGAAAGATGGTGTGTGAAAGATGGTGTGTGACAAAGTGGTGTGTCAAAGATGGTGTGAGAGCCAGCCCAGTGCCAGAAGTCCCAGGCCTGCCACGCAAAACGAAGGTAGATGTCACAAAGTGCCACGCCTGCCACGCAAAGTGATTGTCGATGTCACCAAGTGCCACGCCTGCCACGCAAAGTGACGGCCGATGTCACCAAGCGCCACGCCTGCCACGCAAAGTGACCACCAGAGCCAGTCCAGTGCCATAAGTGCCGCGCCTGTCGCGCAAAGCAACGGTCGAGGTCACCAAGTGCCACGCCTGCCACGCAAAGTGACGGTCGATGTCACCAAGTGCCACGCCTGCCACGCCAACAGCCGCGGCGACAATGGCGTCCAACGGAGACCCATGCGCGCCACCAGAGCCAGTCCAGTGCCATAAGTTTCACGCCTGCCACGCAAAGTGACGGTCGAGGTCACCAAGGGCCACGCCTGCCACGCAAAGTGACGGCCGAGGTCACCAAGTGCCACGCCTGCCACGCAAAGTGACGGTCGATGTCACCAAGTGCCACGCCTGCCACACCAACAGCCGCGGCGACAACTGCGTCCAATGGAGACCCAAGCGCGCCACCACAGAGCCAGTCCAGTGCCAAAAGCGCCACGCCTGCCACGCAAAGTGACGGTCGATGTCGCCAAGTGCCACGCAAAGTTGTGTGTGAGTAAGTTTTGTGTGGACAAGTTGTGTGTGAGTAAGTTCTGTGTGGACAAGTTGTGTGGTGACAAGTTGTGTGTGGACAAATTGTGCGTAGACAAGTTGTATGTGAGTGAGTTGTGTGTGTGTGGACAAGTTGTATGTGAGTAAGTTGTGTGTAGACAAGTTGTGTGTGAACAAGTTGTATGTGAGTAAGTTGTGTGTGAGTAAGTTGTGTGTGGACAAGTTGTGTGGTGACAAGTTGTATGTGAGATAGTTGTGTGTGGACGAGTTGTGTAGTGACAAGTTGTGTGTGGACAAGTTGTGTGAGTGTGTGGAACATCTGTACAGATGTAAAACTTCAGGGTTCTGGCAGTTGTCAGCAGGGGGCATGCGGCCATCATGCAAACGCATGCCATCATGCAAACGCATGCCAACGAAGCTATGCATGATGGTGGAAGCCGGGGCTGATCACCCTGGTGTACCTGCATTGTTGTGATTACCTGTTGTTCAGGGTCTGCTTCCAATCCCAATTTTGACTGACATGGCAAGCGGCCAAGCCCAGAACCGCACAATTGAAACCTTTATTTCACGGTGACATCAAAAATCATGACGAGTTATTTGACGTCTGTATTCTGGTTTGGTCTACGTTTGATATTTTCGGAAGTCCTTCATCGTTCTCGCGAAGTACAACCACGGAATCTACTTTAGGTCTAATTATCTAGGCTGGTTGCACGTTAAAGGACTCAGTTCCTGACGGATCTCTTCATAGATCCAATTTTGTCTAGTGTAATATCCATGGTGACTCCGACATGGTGCCATGGAGCCACTGGAGGCAACCCTGTTTAGGGTGACTGCTGACGACTTGACTTCAGAATTTACACATTTCAATTTGATAATTCATTTAGGTAAAGTGGAACAGCTGGCCTTTCGGTTATGCTTCTTTTTTACGATGTCCCGCCGTTCCCGTTGTCCCTATGAACCTTTGCGAATTGTTTCTCTACTAGCGTGAAGCCGTTCCGAACTACCAGAAACCTTGTTTTTTTCCGCTGTAGCTCAAGCTTTTGAAACGACACATGACCATGAAGGATGTTGCAGGCAGGCACATGCCTTTCAGGTGTGGTCTCTCTTGCTTTTGATGGTTTTCTGGTGAGGTTGAACATATCGTGCATCTAATTCGACGGAACTTGAACAGCTGTTTATGCCATTGCGGCACGACTTGACTACGGTCCCGAAGGGGAGTAACGCACGACTTCTGTTGTAGTTGTAACTGAGTCCTTGTTTGATCTCTTGTTAAATTATTCAATTCGTTTGCGAGCAATGATCCCGTGGCACCATCCCTCGGCATCATGGCCGCCTTCATCAAGCCCATCGCCTACGGCACCAACGTGGCCTTCTTCCGCACCGCCGACTCCCACACCTACATCGTCAACGATGCCTACACCTTTACCTTGTGGCCAACTCCTTCACCGACACCTATTCACCTATTCCACCTCCAGCCCATCATCATCCTGCTCACCATCCAGATTACCCACAATTTCATTCAGCTCCGACTTCATTTTCGACCTCGGCACCCGGCCCCGGTGACCATCTTTTTGGACAAGCCTCTATGTTGCATTCTTCGTGGCCCACTATGACCCCTTCGCCGATTTCGACAAGTTCCCCAACTCCATCAACATTCCCATCCGTCACCACTCCACCTCAATTGTCACAGCCGAACATGCCTTTGACCGCGCCTTCACATCCGGGCATTGCCGCTTTTGCATCCAGCGGGCGTTTTGAACCTCCAACCTTCCCGACAGCAACAGCATCTTTTTCGACACATCCAGGGCCTACTCTTACAACTCCATACCATACAAGTCCGACTCCTGACGCCACCATGACCTAATCCAGCTCCCCACAGTACGGCTACCCCACCATCTGCCAACCCACCAATTCCGACAACTCCTGCCACTCCAGTGACGCCATCTCCACTACCTCCTGCTGCACCAAAACACACCGCCGTCAAAGCTGCACCAAAACTTCGACCAGTCAAATGCCCAGAGAAGACTCGTCGACCTGCTCATCCACCTGCTGCTCCGCCGGTACCAGCTCAATCCCAAGCACTACCCAACACTACACAACAGGAACTCACCACCTTGGGCACCACTGCCAAAGAACTTGCCGAATCAGTTCGCCTCCTTCAACAACAAAAGCAGATCATCATCGAATCCCAGCGTCTCCACCAACAACAACTTCATCAGAATCCTCCTCCTTCACCTTCAACAACTCCACCACCGTTCTCAACATCGCCGACAAGCTCGTCCCCGATCACCTCTATACCACGTCAACGATCCACTACACATAATCCCAAGAGTCGCCGAACACCTTCACCATATCGTCGCCGATCTCCAGCACGACGTCCTGCTTCTTGTCAACCACATCGAACACCGGATCCTCCTCGTCACAGTCGAACACCATCTCGCAATGCCATTGTGTTGACTCCTGCCCCCAGGACACCTGGGGCAATTGGCGCGACAGATGTTCATCGGATCAATCGACCTCGCTCTCCAACTGGTCCTCCACCGGCAACGGCATCTCTCGCACCTATATGGGCTCGGTTTCATTCAGGATTGCCGACCTGATCAAGAAGACAATTTTTCCATTGGCGACTACGAGGCTGGAGAATCTGGAGACACCGCTGTGGAAGAGCTGAAAGCAGCAGCCATGGACCCTAATCGGGTCCATTGTGTGGCCGAGTTAAGCACAACCCACTCCGTCCAACTTCGGGAAACTCTGGACGCCTCCACTCGCAAGCTCTTCAGCAATTTCATCGATGAGATGTTTGCCCAACTGGCAAAGCCCTACGTCACGGAGTCTAATGAGACGATCTACATCAAGGCGGATCCTGCCACAGTCACCAACATTGCACGCTGTTATGCAAGAGCAAACCTCTTGGACCTTGGCCTCGCTCGTCAGACTCGTGGATACTTCATCGAGCCGGAGAACTTGCTGACCATCACGGTCCCAGCGGGCTTACCACTCAAGGCAACCTTCAAAGGTGAATTCTCCGGGACCTTCGCCAGCTACCACAAAACAAGTTGGCAACCGGTAGCCAAGATATTGGCCGAAAATTGCATTCGCCCAGCAAACTGGGCCACAAATGAACTTGGCATCCCGATGCAATACCCGTGTTACGGATTTTTCGGCTACTCCTGCGAGATCACCGACCCGGATGACCTGAAACACTGGCCTATTAAGATCTGTACTTCCAACCTCTACAAGATTGGCAAGGGTCAAAACCCTTCGGGGATTATTGCCACGTGCAAAACCCCAAAACTGATCCGCGTCCAATCGGGCGGGAACGACCAACTCCAACGCCTTCGTGCGCTCCAAGGAATTGGTCAAGGGAAAGACGGCGCAACAGCGATGAACTCGAGGTGCGCCTTTGTGTCTTATGTGGCATCAACCCACCCCGTCTTTCAGACTTTGATCACCAAGGCACCCATCCTGGACCGCGGCTCCACCTCTTCAGTTGCTGGCGATACTCCCGAACCACCTTTGACCTCTACCCCAACGGTTCCTCCAACGACGGAAGCTGCCACCACTGAACCTCCTTTGGAACCTGCTGCCGCTGCCCATCATCGAACCCACGTTCTTGACGACCAGAGGTCCAGTTTCGGCACCAATGACAATCAATCGTCGTCATGACTACCACCGGGAGTCTTATTCTGCTTGGAATCAAGACTGACAAGATCGCCGATCTCAGCATTCGTCTCATCAAGAAGGACGCTCCCGAGAATATCATCATGGCTCTTCGGGCTACTACTCCTCGCATCGAGATTCTGACCGCTCATAGGTGAC